TTTTTTTTTTTTTTCGATCTCTTTCTTTCGGTTCGAGTCTTTTGTGTTTCTCTTGAGTTTCATCTCTAGCCTACCCCGACTTGCTTGGGACTAAAGGCTATGTTGTTTGTTGTTTGTTTAGGGATGTTTGTCATTGGACTGAGAAGCCAACAGCTTCCAGCCTACGAGGTACAAGAATAATTAGTAGGAAATAAAATGATACAAAATCTGCAAACAATATCTATAAGTTAATGGCTTTGAGGCCAGCGGATTTATTCTCTCCAGGTCAACCAAAAGCGTTGTTCTTGATGCCTGAGTTAGTTCCGCTGCTCGAGGGTGGATTACCAGTCACGGGCAATTTAGGTGTCAAGACCTTTGATCTCACTATCGATTCAAGTTCAAAAGATCATTCACCTGTGTTATGAATTTTTCCCCAGCAGTCTTTGAAGCTGAATCATTTGAATATTATTTGGCATCTGTAAAAGTCCACATTGGTATCGCCTCATATGTACTTCCCAAATCTCCAGTCATTAAGTCTGTTGTGTGAGGCTGCCCGAGAATTGGTTTGTTTGCCAAACAAATCATTTTGTTACAATCTCCGATTTCAATTGGGATGAGGAGAGTAAATTAAGCCGCTATCTGCCGAGTCAAATTAGATTTTGTACTCAATCCCCCTTATTTTTGGCCCGCCCAGAGTTCAAATGCTGTTGATAATTTCTCTGCAAACATGTTCTCGATTATTTTTGTGTTTTCAAATCTGTGTTGGCACCATTCAACAAAATGGTAAAATTATATGAAGTTTGAGCTCGATCCTCAACTTCACAAATATGTTTGTTTTTGTTTGAACCAATGTATTGTAATTTGTATAAGCTTTAACTTATCTTTTATCAGTCAGATTAACCAACTATCAATCAAAGATTTAAATCATCAAATTTGAATACTAAAATATTTAAACACCATTAGTGCTTCCTCAACAGATGTTGACATAGACTGTCAAAACTACATAGGCAAGCCACACAGTTACAAAAAGTATAAAAAAAAAAATTACAAATAAAAAACCTGACTTGAATCGATAACTTGCTCAAATTNACTAAATTCATATCCTAATTAAAGCATACATCATCCTAATTAAAGACATACAAATGGTGATCCTTAAAAACATGAACTATTATTCTGCAGCAGCCAGCCAGCATTTGTCACCTTAATTATCTACCCAATTCACCTCCTCCATTTTTTCCCCTTTACCCCGTTTTCTCTAACTAAACAATGTACGAGCCCTCGACCCACGACCCGCCCGAACCACACCGTCCCCTAATCTCCATCCTCACCGACCTCGAGCACGCTATCCGGGCCGACCCGCCCAAGACACCCACCGAGTCCGGCCGAGTCCACCCACTCACCCGACTCGTCATGGACCAGCTCCACCACGCGTGCTTGCAAATGGGCCCAAGCCCAACCGAGCCCAACAAACTCAATGACGAAAACGATCGGGTCTTAACCATGGTGTCCAGCGTAATGGACCTGCTCGATTCTAACCTCGAGTCCAGATCCCGGCTGTACAAAGACCAAGCGCTCGGCTACATATTCATGATGAACAATCGGCGCTACATTCTGCAGCAGGTGAAGGATTCGGAGGAGATGAAGGCCCTGATGGAGGACACGTGGTGCAGGAAAAGATCCTCTGATTTGAGGCTGTACCATAAGGAGTACCAGCGGGAGACTTGGGGAAGGCTGCTCGCTTGCCTCAATCCGGACGGGCTAACCTCGCCTGCAAACGGGAAGCCCGTTAAGCCCGTTCTGAAAGAACGGTTCAAGAGTTTTAATTCAATGTTCGACGAGATTCACAAGACGCAGAGCAATTGGGTCGTGAGCGACGAGCAGCTCCAGTCCGAGCTCAGGGTCGCGATTTCAAACATGGTTGTGCCGGCTTATAGGTATTTTTTTTTTTTTTTTTTTTTTTTTTTTTTTTTTTTTTTTTTTTTTTTATAAGAGGGCAAACGAAACATTGAAATATCATGAGAATAATACATAAACATGAGTGTATACATAAAAATCCTAAAAGAAGGCAAGTTCAAAGTAACGACCAATCGGGACTTACAAAGGACAAAACAAGGTCGTGACTCTAGATTGTGCGTCCCACATCGTCAAATCTTCAATCAACTTCAAATCACAGGAGGTCAATTCATTGCAAGGCATAATATGAAATAATTCAAAACATACTAAGCATGTCTATCCAATAAAAGACTAACATTATTGATCAAGCATCAAACNACAAACATATTGATCAAGTTTGAGCTTCATATAATTTTATCAAACTGTTGGTTGGTACTTGGTACACATAAAGTGAACAGAGACTGGAACACAGAAAACCAATCAAAAGCATGCTAGTGATGGAATTGCAACAGTTTTGTCAAATAGAAGACAGAAAAAGTTATTTTGAATTTTGAATCATATGTGAATCAATATATGAGAACAATTTGAATGATGTGCATTATTACAAATAAAAGAAAGATAGACATCAAAAGCATATGAAGGGCCGAGAAGCACGACAAGAAGCTGTGCGCAGTTCTGAACCACAAGGTATATGAGACAATGTAAAAGTAACTAAGTCGGAAATCTTTATTACGCGCAATAAAACAAATCCCACAATCCAATGGCTACTTTTGAGAAGCAGCCATGCTTCGCTTAGAGGAAGAAGTACCAACAATGATAAAAACTAGGTAAAAATGAAATGAATCATGGACATTACTAATGACAAACAAAAAGATAGAGACCTCAAATGCATATAATGAGTTGAGAATCACAACAAGCAGTTGTCAACTCCAATTCTCGTGCTCATTTTTCCTCACTCTCTCGAAGGAACAGAACGAACTCATAAAACAGAACAAAAGCATAAAAACGGTATTAAAAAACACATAAATGAGTTCAAATAATCTCTACNGCAAGACAAAACACTAATGCTAGTAGTTCCCAGAAAATGTTGTCCAAGTTCGAAACGAGACGGAAAATTCATTTCGTGGGATGTAATTCTATATTTTATTGTTTCTCATTGTTTTCTGGTTTGTTCTTTCATTTATTCCCTCTCTCTATCCCTCTTTTGTGATGAGATGCATTTTTCCAAGTTATATGTATACCCAACACATTTTACACATCATTTATACACCAAATGAAAAGATAATGCCACCATGCTTAACAACCTCCATTAGTTTTATTTGTAATTAACATACAACTTTGGATTGGACAACATGTAATTGTGAGAATAAATCCTTTTGTTTTTGTCCCACATTTCACTTTTCCCAAGAACTAGGTTCCTAATACTTATAAAGAGGCAACAGGGGCATGAAAGAAAGAAAGAAAAGAAGAAAAGTGGAAGCTTTAAGCACCACCGACACAAGAAAACAACCTGTGACTCCTAAACCTCACAAGTTTCTTGGGCTTCGAATCAGCAGCAGACTTATCATCCTCACCACTGCGGCCACCTACGTGGGCTGAGTTGTACCTCCGGTAATGGGCCCCACGGAAGCCCGAAATCCGGTCTGGGCCCTGGCCCACGTTCTGACTCATGTAGAAATCTTCTATGTTGTAAGTGTGAGTTATGGGTGGTGCAGACAGGCATTGGTACTTGCTGCGAGTCTTTCTCTTCTTTATGGACTTCAAAACCATGGGAATTAATCCATCCATGCTTTCTCTCTTTCTCTCTCAAGATTTCTTCAGAGACAGGGTTTTGTTGGTTGGTTATCTCTTAATAATTTTTTCTAATATAGGCTATAGAGAGAGAAGGTTTGAGGATTTGGGAGAGCCAAATACTGAGTAAATCATGAATTATTTGAAGAATGAAGAATTATCTTTTTATTTTACCTTATTTTCTAATATAGGTTTGGTGGGGATGTGATCAGATACTTCAGATACTTCTTTTCTATAATTATTTTATTTTNATCCATTACAAGAAACCTTGGCAAAAAAATTAGTAAATTACAAATTTTTTGGTCTCATCTAAATAAAGAAAACTGTTCACCATTATAAATTTATATAAGGTATTTTTTTTTTTCTTGTTTATGTGGTTATTATCAACTTATCATTAGAAGGAATATTTATATACAGTATAAAGACACCATTTGTTTTGCCCTTTCTTTTTTGCTTCATTAATTAGATCCTAACTTCAACGTTTTTCATTTAATTTGGTCAATATTAGCTAATAGTATCGGCAGTTTTGCTGTCAAGTCAATAATTGGTTCTATAAGGAGCCAACTTTCTGTATACAACAAGTAAATCAAACTATATTAATAAAATTATTAGTATTTATTTGTTGTATATAGATGACTCCACTAGGGGTGTTCACGGTCCGGATTGGTCCGGTTTTATCCCAAACCATGACCAAACAGAACCTAACGGTTAATTTTTTTTTCTTATCCATAACCAGAACGGTTTTATTTTTTAATCGGCCACAATCCGGACCGCATTGGACGGTCCGGTTTGACGGTTAACCGGTTAAATATAAAATCCTTATTTTGGGCCTTCAATTTTTATTTTTTATTTTGGGCTTAATTTTTATTTTTCAATTTTGGGCCCAAAAGAGATTATTTAGGCCTAAAAATTAAGAAAAACAACAATAATGAAATTGAAAGAAAAAATAAGTCGAAAAAAGGTCGGGGAACTGAGAAGCCTGGGAGTGGGAAGATGGGAAAAATTAGGGTTAACTCAAAAAATTAGGAAGAGAAGGTGAGAAAATCTGAAAATGAAAAAATGAAGGTGAGAAAAACTGAAAAGTTATAGTGTCTTACAAAATTAAGTCAACAAAAGGCCAAAAAGTGAAAGTGAATGTATTGTATTTGTCGGCCATAGTGAATGACTGAATGTATATATATATTTGTTATAGTTTTTTAATATTTACCGGTCTGGTTTGGTTAAACCGGCAGTTTGCCGCAGGTAATCCGTTAACCGGACAGGTTATTCCGGATTTTTAAAAAAATTAACCACCGGATTTTTTAATGTTTTTTTAACTGACCAATTAACCGATTTGCGGTCCGAATTGACGGTTTTTTTCGGTTAAAACCGGACCGTGAACACCCCTAGACTCCATTATGGAATCAATTGTTGACTTCATAGCAAAATTGATCGTATCAGATCATTTTCCACGTCCGACAAGTTTAATCTCATCCTTTATATGCATATTGTCAATAAAACCTACTAACTTTTTATATATTTTCTCGACCTCTTGCCTTTATTCTTATTAATCGTTTCATATTATTTTTTGGGTTTCTTGTTCTTTGTTTCACAAAATAATGATTGTAATTTGTAAGTGGCGACCGTCTTATCCTCAGCAGCCTCATCTAACACAAGAGCTTAGGTTGGCAAATTGAGATATTATTAATAATCAAAGGGTTCAACGAGCAACGACTCAACAAAAATAAGTTCTAATTTGTGAGGAAAAACACTGTAATAAAAGGAAATGTAATAGAAAAGTTAATGTTTGGATAACACTGATAAGTCATAACCTAACAATCTCGTAGAGAAAAACTGAATCATGTATATTCGGTAGGTAAAGAAAGTAAGAAACCTATGATTATATTAAACACTAACACCACCCCTGTACTAAAAAAATTATATAAAAAATTTGCCAGAAAATAAAATAATTTTTTATTGTTTTAATTTTAGATAAAAATTATATTATTATTTTTAATTAAATCATCCGTCATTCGCAATACTCGTTCATTCTTATTATAATAAAAATTTAAACCCATGACAAAATATGCTAGATTAAATTTTTTATTTAATTAATACATATTAATATTGTTATTTTTTATTTTAAATTCTTAAATAATTTAATTTTATTTATAAAATTAGATATTATGTTTTATATATATGCAATATAGATCATGTATTCAAAATCGTGGAAGTATAATTAATTTGATATTTCATATATAAAATTTTAATAATAAATAAAAATTTATTAAGCTTCATAATATATTTATATTTTAAATTATTTTAGTTATTTACAATTTCATAAATCCTTTTATGGATTAAAGTTAAATCTACAGTGATTATAGATCAACATAACTTGACATTTAGGCTCGAAAACTCGTTGATTTTACCTAAATGCTTTTAACTTAAGTCATCTATTCAATTGTGAAAGTGAAAGTATGATGGCCAACATAACTTACTTAGAAAGTCGGCTAGACAATTAATTGTCGGATCTTTCAAGAGCTAAGCTAACGACATTTTTACCAGATATTAAATATTTTTAGTGGCTGCAGTAATTTACCAATTATTTGTTTCAGATTAAAACACACGGTGAAAACAAAAATGTGGTGAAGTATACTATCCAATCCAATCTATATCACATGCTAATAAGCCTACATGGCCACAAGATAAACTTTAAGAAACGTTGTTGACCAATTCACAAATAGGCAGAGAAAAAGAAAAATCTGTAGAGCTTGCTCAGCTGTTTGTAAAACACCATATTAGATAAAATTATCCTAGATACAACTGACGAATTCTGATTAATTGAAAGTTACGTTTGAGCTATTATATGATTCTGTTAGAATTTTGAACATTGATGGAATCTTTATATTCACATTAATTTGCTTAAGCGATCGTATACCATACGTCATACAGCATACACAAATTGCAGTACGCTCAATTTTATATTACCCTCAAACTTCATTTTTATTTTAAAATACATAACTATAATATGAGACATCCGTTTTTTTTTTTTTTTAAAATAATTTTTCAAAAATAATATGCTAGGCTGAATTTTGTATAGAGAAAATGGGTAGCTCGGCTCCTCCAATGAAATTGAGGCAGCTTCAGTTGTCAAGTTATTTTTGTTTAGTTTCAAACTGATGTGCTATCTCGAATCGGTTCTCATTCGTCCTCACACCAATTTGCTCCTTGAAAATCTACAAGATATGCCGAGAGCTGTTCCCGACGTAAATTTTTACGATCAAGTCAGGAAAGGATTATGGAAAGTTGTATCATGTATGTAATTGTACTGTAAAGCTTAGAGTATATAAAGTGATTAAACCTCTTACCTTTCATCCCTCTTACCTATTTATATAAAATTCTTAGCTTCTTGAACAGCTTTGCCCCACCCGACAGCCCATAGGCCTACCCGCATGCCCGGATTGTCAGAGGAGCTACCCAACAGATATTTGGCTGCCCTTAGGTCTGCTCGATGCTCATTCTTATCCGTAGGATCATTTGGATTCTTACCAAATAACCCTACATGTGTCTCATATCACCAACTCCTTCTATTTTTTCATGCGTAGGTTCTCGGCTTCCATAAATATTCTTTTAGACTAAGTCTCCGCAGGTCGATTACCACACAGGTCCCCCGACCCATTAACCGAAGGTCTACCCCCTTTGTCCTAGTTATTATATTGTCCGAGGCTCTAAGCTACCATATATTCGAGCTACTGTATATCCGAGCTAACTAAGATACTAGCGTCATGTTGTACGAGCTATTGAGCTATCTGAGCTACTAACATACTAACACCATGTTGCCCGAGCTATTGATCTATCAGAGCTACTAACATACTAAATTACTAACACCATGCTGACCCATTGAGCTATTCGAGATACCAACATACTGACGCCATGCTACCCGAGCTATTGAGCTATCCAAGCTACTAACATACTAACACCATGCTACCTGAGATATTGATCTATCCCAGCTACTAACGTACTGATGTAGCACAACATACGAAAGACAAATAAAGAGAAGAGAAATCTCTCTCGAACCCTAAGACTCCTAAAAAATCTAGATTACTACCTTATCCAACAAAACAAGGATTTGGAATAATAATAATAGTAATAATAAAATAACCTACCAAATATATAAAGCAAATAAAAAACAATAAAAATATCAATGGAAATAAATAAATAACTAAAGATCCAAAGATCAATCCTCATCTCCAAGATCCAAAGATCAATCCTCATTTCCATATGATTCTGCCCCTCTCGAAAAGGATTCACCCTCGAATCCGGTATAGTCTCGTCTTCAACGGAAGTATCACCATGGGAGACACTGTCAGAATATCACTTGTGAGTTGTCCCACATTGTTCATACATGAAAAATAGACCCACTTTATAAGTCTAATGGGCTACTCCTCCTTCTACCAATTGGTTTTAGGATGAAACCCACTTGGGCTTCATATGACTTTCCCCGCTTTGATGCGCTTCATGTTAGCGAGCCCGCACCCGTTTTCCCTTAGTTTCTGTCATGGTATCAGAGCCGGTTCTATTTGTGACCGTGCGATGACGTACCCGTCACCCAGCCCAGTTGCGCTTGGACTTCCGAAGGACTCACAATTGAGGGGGTGATATAGCCATATTATGATGTACCGGTCTAAGAATCCCGTACTCGACCAGACGACGGCTCACGTTGCCCACACGTCGACATACCTAAATCGACTTACGAAATGTGTATTCTTTATGTAATAACCGCGAGGAAAGACGGAATCTACACAAGTCGACTTCTAGAAGTCGACTTCATACAGTCGACTCCCCAAAGCCGACTTCTACTTGAAGAAGACCAACAAGAGCGTAGCCTCCGAATATTCCGATAATCCCAAGTCGATTTCTCGGTACTCGAGGCCGACTCCTCGCACCTCGGGACGCGAAGAATACGGACGATTCAATACACTTGTGATATCTTCTGAAGTCGCTTATCCCCCAATGGA